CCATAAAGGACCCCGAGCACATTCTGTCGAGACACGCCGATTCGCGCCATCACCCCACACGATGGATGTGCTCTCCACCTGCCACAGTATCGGCTGAGGTTTGCAGGTCATGAGAAAAGTCGAACAGCGTTTGGGAGTTTGTCGCGGGCTGTGGTCAGTTGGCGCAATCTCACGCAAGTCCACTATGCTCAGGTTGCGCTCTGTTACCGCAGCCGAAGGAGCTAAAGCCTAGACGCCCCACCTGGTTCCTGCAAAGGCAGGAATGAAATGGGCCGCGACTTGAGCCGAACGGCTGCATCGAACCGGCGTTGGCAAAATCCAAACTTCTGGGTTTAAGGCTTCGGGTCCCGGCTTTGAGTTTTGAAGGCCAGGGAGCGAGCTTGATGCCTAGGATGCCGGGTTGGTACAGCGGCATGGCTGAGCGCGCATGCACCGGCAAGCCCAGAAGGGGTAGGCTACCAGACCCACCGACAACACCAAAAACCGACAACAGCCAAGTCCAAAATGGATTTGGGAAGCCCTAGGCCCTGAAGAAGAGGGCTTTTCGAAACCGTTCAGCTTGGTCGGCCACTCATAGGGCCCTTCCTCTCCAGAACCGACAGGGAGGGAGGTCGGGCCTGCGCAGCATACTGATGCTCCATGGCTTCGGGTTTTAGCTTGAGGCTAGGTTTTCGGGTTCAGGTCGAACATTTAGCTTAGGGTCTGGGTTTAGGGTTTGTGTTGAGAATGTAGCTTAGAGATAGGGTACCCTTGACCCTGAGTTGTAATAATTGCAGTACCCGTTTGTGGTCGGCTTCTGTGTTGAGTATCGGTGGCCGTCAAACTAGACTGTACCGAACAATGTATCACAGCTCAGGATCTAGACTAGACACCGTCTCACTGAGTTCGTCGGCAGGAAACGGTTGAACAAGCTTTATCCAATGTCGGGAGAAGACCCTACTCCTCCACAAACCTCCTCTTCCTGGTTCACAGCATCGGAAGTGCTGTAAGGCAGCAATCACCAGTCCAAAGACCAAAGAAAAGCCAGTGGCAGGACTCCGTGCACCAATGCTCAGAACAGCCGTTGTCTCCGAATGATCCGCCCGTGTCATGATATCAGTGTCAGCATGTAGCACTTCACTTGCACCTCCCCCCACCCACAAACCCACACGCACCCACATGCACACACAACATCTGCGCAAAATGCCAAGCATATACGCTTGCAAAAGTAGGGATGTGAGAAAGTGAAAGCGAGGCATGCAGATATATGACATGTAGAAACGGTCCCCGTATCTAGCTATCCGTTTCCTGGTGCATGTCGGTGTAACAAAGCCATTGGTTCAGAAACCGATGCAAAATCCTTCAACAAACACCATGCCCATAAGACCCGAAGGGGTCTACTGGGTTGTTTTGACTTTGACAATGACTGTCGCTAGTATGAGGTATACATGTTAACTCCCCACGCCCCCAAAGTGATGGACAACAACTCCACACTACAAGTCACACAACGTGAAACCAAAGCACTTGCTGCAACATGCTGTAACACATGCACGAGGCCCAAGCCATCTCTCGCGCAATGTTCTCAATCCTTGGATTGGGACGTTCAGTATTCCATCGGTTCAACGCATGCAGCACCAGCACGCGAATACAAGTAGCAGAAGTAGTCGTCGTCATCATCAATGCCTTTGTGATAGTAGGAGTGGTGGTGGTGGTAGCAGTGGTCGTCGTCGTCGTAACAGTAGCAGTAGTAGCAACTAGCAGTAGCAGTAGTAGTAGTAGTAGTAGTAGTAGTACTACTACTACTACTACTACTACTACTACTACTACTGCTACTGCTGCTGCTGGTGGTGGTGCAATGCAAATATGTGTTGTACTAGTAGAATCGCAGTAGTTGTCGCTGCACAACAAGGACTACTAGTAGCAGTCGTCGTCGCCGTCGTCGTCGTCATAGTAGCAACAGCAGCACCGGGAGTAGTAGCAGCAGCAGCAGAACTAGCCTAGTAGTTGTTCTTTAGTAGTAACAACAGACGCAGCAGTACGAGTAGCAGTAGCAGTAGCTGTAGCAGCAGCAGAAGCAGCAGCAGCCGCAGCAGCAATAGTACTGCTACCGAAACTCCTACTACGCCTACTCCTGCTGCTACTACTACTGCTACTACCTCAGCTACTGCTCCCGCTAGAACGACTACGACTATGACTGTATATGGTTACGGCTACGACTACGCATGCGATGACGACTACCACAACCAATATTGTCATTACATCGAAAGAAACGCCAGCAGCAGCAACAATAGCAACAACAACGAACAACCACAAACAAACAGCCACAAACGACAACATACAATCACGAGCAGCAGCAGAAGGAGCTGCAGCAGCAGCACAACAAGAACAACGACGGCAGCTACAACCACAGGCACAAGCACAACAACAATTAATATTAATAATCATAATCTACTGCTATCGCTGATACTGCTACTACAACGACAACTGAAACTAGGATGGGTACGGGGTACGGATAGAGCTACTGCTACTGCTACTACTGCTGCTGCTGCCACAAGTACGATGGAATCGGAACGGTGTCGGAGCGGTAGGATGGCTTACGAATTCAATTTGCTGCGTGGTGGCAGGAATCAGAGCAAAATTAAGGTTTAGGGCTTAGGGTTAGGTGAACAAGCAACTTGATCGAGCAACTTGTCCAATGTGATCAAGCTGACATGCATAAGTGACCGTGCATTTTACAATTAAAGCATGGGAACGCAATGGCAGCAGCACAGTTCAATCCGTCGAGACAAAACACCCCGATTGAATGACAAATACATCTCAGCCTGGAGACATTTTGATGTCATTCACCGCCGCTTCCACCTGTGCGGAGATATCACAGAGAGCATGCTACCATGCACCACCGTGCAGTATAATGTATTATTTCCGAACAGCAAAACTTCAGAGTGCATCATACGCTGGCAGAAAACAAACAAAGTGATTGATTGACGCATCGCGCCCTCTTGCGCAAGGTACGTCGTAAGAAAGCGGACTGAGCAAACTAGCAAAGCGAGGTGTCTCGTAAAATCCAGCTTTTCGCATTGCGGCCCGCTAAACGTGCTGCTGTACTGATGATTAGCTATACACTTGAGCCTCCATGAAACAGATCTGACGCAAGCAGCCAACGAGCACACTTCGCCACAAAACCCTACGCCCTGAGCCCCTAAACCCTAAACCCTACCTTGGGACTCCCGACACATCCCGAACCTTTGGCCCCTGTGTGATCGTCAGAGCCGAAATAAGTAGAATGGGGATTTAGGGTACCTTATACAATAGTAGTATGACAAGAAACCTAAGGGATTGTGCTATCAATTGCTTTAGTCTCTATTTTCGACTTGTAGAAATCCAAAGGGGGACTTCTCAGAAGACATCAGAACCAGAGCGTGCGACATCATGCCACATGCAACACATCCAAGCATCCCCTACGCCTAAGCCTGAAACCTGAAGAACTTCTTAGCATGCTACGGCTTGGCATAAATAAATTGGAGGATGGTTTCTCAAACTTCCCGAGAGGCCTCCTCTGGCAGCTGCTATCATTCGCTGACCGTGCAGTCCGTGTACGACACTTGCAAAACGACGACGGCGGGTAACATAGGGGCCTTAATAATCAGAATAGGGCTTTGGGGTGTACTATACTATAACTATAATAAGGAACCCCCAGGATAGTATAGGTAATTATTGAGGCGCCTATTTTACAGAACCCTTATAGTATCCCTTTTTAAGGAACCCCTTTAAGGGAACCCTATTCTAATGACTAAGGCCCTTACATTAAACCCTTGTAGTAACCCTTTAACGGAATTATGGTATAATAACCCCTATATACATTATAGAACCCTTATAGTATCCATTTAAGGGAACCCTATTCTAATTCTTAAGGCCCCTATAGCAAACCCTTATAGAAGCCTTATAGTAACCCTTATAGTAACCCTTATAGTAACCCTTTAACGGAATTATGGTATAATAACACCTATATACATTATAGAACCCTTATAGTATCCCTTTAAGGGAACCCTATTCTAATTCTTAAGGCCCCTACATTAAACCCTTATAGAACCCTTATAGTAACCCTTATAGTAACCCTTTAACGGAACTATAGTATAATAGCCCCTACATTAAGGATAATAACCCCTATAGTATCCCATTTTAAGGAACTGAAGGGAACCCTATTCTAATTATGAAGGCCCCTACATTACTTTAGAGTATAATCACCCCTACATTATAGAACCCCTATAGTATCCCTGTTTAAGGAATCCTTTAAGGGAGCCCTACTAGTAGCAGCTTCGCGCTGTCAATCCCATCCTCAACAAGGCCAGGGCCCGCCTGCGCCTCCTTTCTGGCCTTGGGCTTTCGGGTTTCAGGGTTTAGGGTTTCAGGGTTTAGGGTTTAGGGTTTAGGGCTTCAGGGTTTAGGGTTTAGGGGTTTAGGGTTTAGGGGCAACAGCACCAAAACCAAACTTGACCAACGAATAATTAGAATAGGGTTTGGGGGTCCATTATAGTATATCTACAATCAGCAACCCCCCAAAATAGTATTGGTAATTATTGAGGCCCCTATATTAGCACTGCAACTTCAACCCAACAGGTGCGAGAAGGGATCTGAGGGGCAACATCAGTTCGTGGAGGCTTGGTTTGTAGGGTGGCTTTGTAGGGTCGGGGCTTGGTCATCTGGTCAGGGCTTGGTCATTGGCTCATTCTTACTGTCTTGGGAAACGACTATTCTTTCGGGCGCCTTGTCCGAGCCCACTTGTAGAACCTAGACTTGGGCCTCGTGGCGACGACCCTTTGCCCGAAAGGTTTTGCTCACATCGGGTTTCGAGTAACCGGGTGCCCGAACCGTACTACAGCTTCCGGACATGGGGATTGACAGGTTCAGGGCTTCGACGTCAAGCCGTCAAGCATCTAAAGCCAGAACGAACAATGCGACTCGGGGACGGCGCAAGTTCTGCCTGGCCTTCGACAAAGCCGCAACAACGCATCTCTTTCTGGCTACTCTGCAGGACCCGTGGGCTCACTTTGAGCGCCCAGTGTAGCCGGCAACACGCCGTCCTGAGGAAAAGCATGCTGAACATTGGTGCAGATGGGCGCCACTATAGCTGCCTTGAGAAGTAGAATAGCGTTAAGGGGTGAATGATATCATGTTTATAACAGGGAACCACAAGGATTCTCCCGTAACTAAGGATCTCTGTCATGGTTTCTTTTTCGTTCGCAGGTAGCAGGAGGCCAATGGAGTAGTCTGTGTCGCTGATATCTACAGGACGATCGCCCACGAAAAAGCAAACACGCTGCTAATCTTCTTGACATGGGAAGAGACCATGGCAAACCAATTCGCTCAAGAACAACGGAAATCATGAATCATGAGGCTGTTTTACCCCTCCGCGCACTTCCTTGGGGCTGTTCTTGGCACAATAACCCTTTTTTGAACGAGGTCTTCGGAGACCTAAACCCCAAACCCCTAAACCCCTTTTGCATCAGGACTTGTGAACCCCTAGACCCTAAACCCTTAAACCCCCTAAACCCTAAACCCAAACCCCTAAACCCACTAAACCCTAAACCCTTTTTCAGCACGGACTGAGGTGCCGGCCAGCGCCCATGCAACCCTCACCCCGTCTTAAGGCAAGAGCGCGCAG